TCGTGTTCAGTTATGTCATTATATAACGAACGACGTAATGTCCTTACAAAGGAGAATATAGGTAATCGTTGAATAGCATATTACTAAAGCCGATTAAATACTGTGACCGGGTCTAGATTATGAATTATTGCATGACATTTCGATGGTACTTATGTCACACACAAAATATGTGGAATAAATATTATATGACCTATATTGGTTTAAATTAGTCCATATGATCTATTGCGATTGCCTTTTGTCCGTCGTCGTTCGTAAACATTAAGCAATTACATTTTGACTTCTCAGAAAATGTCAATAATAGGACCAGGATTTACTTGAGATTGGGCTGACCCAAAAGGGGCTGAAGGGCGGGCCATAAGTTGGTCACAATCTTTTCAAAGACTTTTTTCTGTGAAACATTTTTATGATGAGGATCGGCATTTACGCTCAAGAAGGGTCTGATGGTTTATTTTTGTTTTTGTATTGTTTTACGGCCCATCCACAATACGAGTCATTTAGGTCAAAACACTAAAAGATACATACCAAAAAATCAAATTGAAACTAAAAAGATAAAAATATGTAAAGAATTTAGAAATACATCAACAGCAAATGAATTGGCTGTAAAATATCATGTCATATTGTAAAGATCAATTGAGTATAAATTGTCATATATTAATAAGCTTTTCATAGATGGCCGATTATAAGATCTGTCAAGTTGTTGTTTTATAGAAATTAGCGTCATTCAGCCTAGGTCATTCCAGGATGGACCTCCATGTATAGTGTGTATGCTTGCATGTTGTTGGGTGCCGGGAACAGAGGTTGTTGATGTATTTGCTTCCCTGTGATAGCGCGAATCCCATGCCGAAGGCACCAAGCACAGCATTCCGCGCAGTCACATTATACTGACAACGGGTGAAGCCGTTGTTATTTCCCATAATGCTAAACGTTAAGCACGGAATAACAACTTACATTTTTAAGGACTTTTGTATGTCCTGGCCTGGGGACAGAGCCCCTTGCCTACGTCACTTGGGCGAACGCCCAACATGAAAGCCAAAAGTGAGGTTTTGCCAAGTAAGGCGTTAGGAAATGATAGAATGTAGAAGTAGAGAGAAGGATTAATATCCCGAATATTGCAATGGGTACAACAGGTTTATTTTAAACTAAAATAAGATAGTATGCCCCCCTTGCACTATTTCTTCTTTCTTATCCTGAAACACCAAAAGTGTCGATTGTCCGTTAAACTTAAACAAGTAAAGCAGACCACAGCAAGGAAAGTGTCCTCTCGCGCGAATGAGCATAGGTCATACCTACGTCACACATAGCTACATTTTACGTAAGGAAGACTAACATTACTGTCATGTGATCAGCAATTCACAGTAAAACACTTTAGGATTTATGATTGAGGCAAGCACACCAACATACCCTTTCCAATACAAACACACACGCAAGTACGCATACACTACACACATGGAGTCACGTCCTTAAATTACCTTAGTTGTTAATTGGACGTTAAACGATAGATCGATTCGCATATACATTAACACATTAAAGTTTGAAAGGTCGGGGATCATGGGGTTAAAATCAGCTGACTCAGCTTGATAATTTACGTATTTGACATTTATTCACTAGGTATTGTTGAAATAAATTTTCAGAATAATTAAACAAAAAACATTAACATCACGCCATACAATGTTTAGGCAGGCTTTTTAAAATGTTATAGAGGGCGCAGAAGTGTGTTTTTACATCCGTTACCTCTAACAACACGATGTGGGCACGTTTAACAGCTGGAGGAACAGCAGGAAAATACATTTTCGACAATGGATGGAATGAAAAGGAGAAAGCCACTTAGCACGGGACGTGACGAACTGTTGAATAGCTGCAGGTATGGAATAGTGCCAGGATATCATTGCGCTTGTGCTGGATGGTTCCATTTTCATGACAAATTTTAAAATCTACTATAACTTGTACATAAAAGTAAGTGTGTGCATTACATATGAAAAATTGAGGATGTACATTTATAAACTGCAATGAATAAGTAATAATCTCTCTCTCTCTCTCTCTCTCAATAATAGATATATGTAGTTATTCAAACTATGAAAGTCATCTTATGATGTGTATATACAATTATTTATCTTATAAGGAAAGGGCGTTAATAATGTTCATGTAACTTGTGCCCAATCCTTTTGCATTTGTTTGGCAATAAAATATGTTTAAACTAAGGAAAATACATACAGTCCCTTGTGTTAACCAGGACCCGCCTAAAAATCGATTAATCCAGTAAAGATGGTTAATGTACGACAATAGTTTAGCCTTGGCATTGCTCCGATATTTGAGGAATTCCATGTTATTTTCTTATCACACACTTGCTGCCAATTACTGTATAATAGAACTCTAAACGCCCTTGGTGATACTTATAGAAGCAGCACTTTAGTTATACAGGTTTATAACAAACTTATACACTTATAACTACTTTTTGATTCCTTATTTCAGCGTGTATAATATTTCTAAATGGCATGTCGTGATAGACTTTTAAGTCTCATCTGTTGTGAGGAAATTAGATAACCTCCGACACCTTAACACGCAACATATAAGACTGATTGGCTGTCTTCGTTACATTTAACATATCAATGTACGAAAAAGTTATTAGATTATCCATGTTCAATCTGGACGTTGGTTGATGTCTAGACATTCTTTATGATGTCCTCCATTCACAACAAAAATATATATCTTGTTAACAAAATAGGACATATATGTATGCAATGTATATATACGTATATATATCGGCATGCATGCTCATGGTAACATATAAGTAGGTCACGAAACACAAGTTCGATAGTGTTGACTTATTTTCTATCTTTCTTACATGTAGGCGTATATCACAATGCACTATTGCAAGAGGATTGTTTGTTTGTTTGTTTGGAGTTTAACATCACAACAGCCATGGTCGGAACATAATGGATGCCTGAGGGAGATACTGCCAGAGACACAAAGCAGACAGGAAAGATAGGAAAAACGAAAAAGATCCCAAGCACGGAAAAAAACTCCATTTCTGCGAAAGGCACCCACAATGGTCGATGTTAACGATACACGTGCAGCGAGATACAGAAAGTCTATTCTTGGATTTTCCAATGCCCCCTATGGAAAGGTAGGGAGGTAACCAAAACCGATTCAGCAGTCGGCCCAAAAACAGTGTAATACAGAAGGCATTATCGTAAAAGGCAACCTTTGTGGGGCTCTGCATGTTTGTAAGTGTTATTGCATCCCGCATGTGTATATGTCTGCTGGAGGCAGGATAGGTTGGGTTAATGGTCTCCTTGTAATAGCGCGGATCTGATGCCGACTTGATAGTGCTATCGCACTGAAATACCATGCCGAAGGCACCAAACACAGTTTTTATTATCATCATTATTATTATTGGATTCTTACCGGCCCATCAACAGAAAAAGAAGCTTAGGCATTTAAGGACGGCCTCAACTGTGTGCAAGATGCGTATGCGTGTGTGTTTTGGGAGGCTGCGATATGTTTGTGTTTTGTATCCTTGTGATAGCGCGGAACTGATGCCGACTTTATAGTGCTACCTCACTGAAACATACTGCCGACGACACCCAGCAGGACACCCCACCCGGTCACATGAAACTGACAACGGGCGAACTAGTCGTCCCACTCCTAAATTCCTGAGGGTTAAGCAGGAGCAGAAACTACCATTTATACAGACTCTGGTATGTCTCGGCCTGGGGACAGAACCCAAAGCCTTCCTCAAAGGGGTGAACGCTCAACTAAAGGCCAAACGTGAGGCATTGTTAAGGGAGACATTAGGAAGAAGAAAGTTGTTTAGATAGAGAAAAGATAAGAAACCAAATTTAGTCGCCTCTTACGATCATGCAATGGGGCAGCAGGTACAATTCTTACGCCCTACCTGCAGGAACTTATCTCCAAGAGAACAAACTACATTATCCCCTTTCTCTGTAGGCAAACTAATTTTAATACATGCGCACGACAGAAAATGCCAAACTAACAATTCTTTTCCTGAAAGAATAAGGCATATTTAACCCATAAAAACATGTCTGATGCTATGGATAAGATTACTACCGTTATTGTTTGCTGTAGCAAGATTTTTTTTAACTCAAGTGGTTCTTGAAAAAAGGGAAACAATGCAGAAAAATGGAGTAAGACATGTGTGATCATATTTATCAAATTTGGAAATAGATAACAGTATGCAACTATGAAATACACTCAAACAAACACAGAGATTGGTTTAAATTACTGTTAAAATAGAAAGAAAGGTACATGAAATCCCTTTAATCACGCAAGTTTAAAAAAAAACCAGAGAAGTTCGGACTATTTTCAAATAAATAATGAGCTAAGTATATATATATAGTCTGACGAATCTCCTAGAAGAGATGAAAGTACTAAAGACTCGTTGTTAAGATTTTCTCTTTATACAATATATATATATATTGTCACACATTTTTTATAACACTTTGTTTTGTATTTATTCCTATTAAAGTTGAACTCTACTCATATATTGACACAAGCGTATGAACTGCACAAGCTAGGAGGAAATCTTCATTATAAATACCAAAAATGTAAAACCAAGTGATACTTGTTTATACTATACTCTACCTAACACCTGAGATAGATGTATCGAGTAATGTCGCACCCACTCTAACGTATGTTTAACTCTCAACACTAACTATGTCCTTACGTGATGGTAACAATGTATTATTAAAGTCTCCGCGGTAATTACCCACTTGTAATTTCCCTATCGATTCAGTGTTTTCTTTTCATCGATAATAATCATTAGCTAGGGTAGGAGATCACCCGACATGCGTAGTTAATCTACACAACTATATATTCCTTATCTACGAATATTGGCTATCTGAATTGAAGTCATGCAGCTTTCTGATTGGTCGGTTAGGAATGAAGGCATATGGCGATATTGGCGATGAAACGCCTACTGCTGCAGTTGACTCTGTATAAAGGACATTGGTACTCTCAACTTCTTATCAGAACATAACGGACTGTTAATACTGTTGGAGCATATGTTCTGGTCACAAAGGCAAAGAATTTCGGTAAAGACGTATACTTTGTACAAGTAAAATCAAGTGCGCCTTTGATACAGAAGCCAACTTTAAGGTAAGCATAAAAGATAATTTAAAATATGTATAAGCGGGTGAACAATAGGTACGAGAGACACATTTAAGATGCCTATGCAATAGAGATACTTTTTAATAGCTTTTGAAATGTGCATTTATAAAACTATTCTTTTTCTGAAAAAAGCTGACAGATTTTTGTTCACCTTATGATGTTGTAAAATGTCTTAAACAAGAACAGCGTGCTATCAGTATAGTAAGTAACAGGTAGGCGTGTTTCATAGTCATCTTCGATAATATAAAACAAAATAAGACAAAGTTATTAAGTTTTGCATAAAACGAAACGCAAGAGGAAGAACCACAATAATGAAATTATTTCAAAACTCTAATCTTATTGTTAACGTATCATGTTTCGATTGGCTTATGACCTAACACTTTTTACAACGAACAATAATCTTCAGACGGTTTTTCAAAGTAGATATCGACTTTTTTCGACAAAATCTAACCAGTGGATTTTTTTAAAGTATATCATTGTAAATAAAACTGAATTTAATGATATGTTAGTACTGATTTGCGGAGCTGCAGTGGCAGCTACTAAGCATGGGTCACAGCTTTCATTTCTTACACCTATTGTTTTAAGATGTTAATTCATCTTGTTTTTGAATATGCAATAATGTCTTAACGGAGAGAGAAGAAAGTCTCTAGTTTTAATTACGTATACGTTCATTATTCAGTTTGCAAATGATTTAAAAGAAGAATAATATATCTGCACGTTTGATATCCACAACTCAGAACGAAACTTCATATATAACAATTCAATGAATTTAAAGACGCATGTTTTATGTTAGCTGCCGATGAAGCGATTGTAGACTTGGTGGCAATTTTTTTTACATCTTTGCAACATTGACTCAATTATATAATTGCTTATATTTTTGTAAATTAATCAGACAATAGCATTAAAAGGTAGAATTGTGTTGAGTAGTTTATACGAATTGACGTGCAGTATTGTTGCCACGCGTGACGTCATAAGATTTGGACGTCAAATTTGATGCTACAAATTCCTGTATTTCTTTTATTAAGTAATGTGTCATTTGTATGCATAAAATGAGGATTTAGGTGTTTTCCTGTTGATTGTTATAAACGGCTTTGTTAATATTTCAAATCAGGCTTCCACTTGTGAAAAACAAATGTATTCTGTACTATTCGTACAATATATAAAGTATTTAACGGGAAACAATTCAATATATGATAATTCGTTTTGCGATTGCAATCTTCAGTTGTTAAGCGTTCGGTTCTACTGCATCTTAAAGGTCTTTTTTTGGTTCCAACATTAAAACAAGGGTACTTTAGATGTATGAAACAAGGGTACTTTAGATGTATAAAACAGGGGCGCTACTCGCCTTGTGCCAAGTCACATTAAACAAGATTGATAAAAATAACGTGTTATGGCACCCAGGATACACTTCCCTGTGTACAACCCAATAAAATAGGTCTCGAAGCCTTTTATCTACTTTCTGGAGTGTAGGGATTTAAAATGCGATAATACAGTTAGTGCTTAACATTGCGGTAAAATAGCAATACTAAAGTAAGAGTAGGTAAGGAGTAACCATACTTTACTAAGAATAGCCATACTTAAAAGAAATGTCTTTGTAAGGAAAGCATAGCATTAGTTAGAATACTTCAAGAAAGCTTATCCATACACATAATACACGTCCATTGAGTTCTATGAATGTTTGTTATTGCTCCCCAAACATTTTTATTAAAGCTAATTTGGCTGTAAATAAATGCGTAACAACTAATTAACTGAATCAAATTTCTCTAATTTCCTACATCATAATAACTCTCGGTGGTGTTGAGTGTAATGTTTGATGGTCGGGTTGCGCAGCGAATAACGCACTCGCCTTTCACCAGTCGTCTAGGATCCGGTTCCCCGATCGGACGTGAAAATGTAGTTTGTCGCCTGCCCGACCAGGTGGGTACTCCAGTTCCCTCACATATGAAGCCCCCCTGCGCACTATTAAAATAAATTGTTTCATAATTGTTAGAAATAAAAAATAAGTTTATATACCATCATAAAGTTTTATCAAATTTTTGCGCACTGTAAAAGGTTTGTTGTTGGTCTTGTTGAACGTTCGCCTAGGTGAGGAAGGCAGTCGGTTCTGTTTCAATGCCGGGACAAAATAAAGTCTTCAATTATGGTAGTTACTCCTTGCTAACGTTAATCTTTTAAGGGTAATTTCGATAGGTGGTTCACCCGTTTTCCGTGTAATGTGACCGGGCGTAGCGCTGTGCTGGGTGTCTTTGGAATGGTATTTCAGTGAGATAGCACTATAAATTGGCATTAGATCTGCGCTATCACAGGAGGACGTATTCATTAACATGCTTCGTCCAGCACTCATACAACACACTATGAGGAATGTCCTTAAATAGCATTATTAGCTGTTGATACGACATTAAACCCTGTGCAACCAACCAACCTTCGTATCGTAGACGTTCCTTTCGGAAATATCAGCAAGGACGGGTTCCTCTCGGCGTTTTGCTCTTCAGTTTGCACATAAGCTTATATTTAAATATGCTATTTTTGTTGTACAAGGTTCTTAAATTAGATGATACCAGATACAATAGAAGAATGTGCTCTTTTCCATGTTTAAAAAAAAAAATTGACAGAAATAATAGCTTGCTGCTTCGACATCTAGAGGTTAAAATATTTAGCTTGCAAGATCAAATACTTCAGACTCTGTCCGAGCCCATTGTGTCATCAAGACGTACTTGTGAGGTTAGGAAATTAAGATTACAGACGATTTTTTTTAAATTAACCTACACTGAGTAGAAAAATTATTTGAAAAGTTTCGATCCGAAAATCATTTTAAAAATTGAACCCCTTGGAAGCCCAGTTCACAAAAATCCTTGTGTGTGTCGGTCAGTACATTAATACTGCTGATAATGTTAAATAAGCCACCAAATGTCCCAAAGTTGATATGAATGATCAAGGAGAGCATAGCAGATTTCGGGTCAAGTCACAGAATAATTAATGTTATAGATAGAATATGATTTTGGATGACGCTAGTTTTCCCTTCATCATCATCCCTATGGCTTGAATCATAATCACGTTGAGTTTGGTGATAAGCCACAACTCGATGCTACAATTTTTAGAAATTTTGTGACGTTACTTTAATTGTAACGTCACAAGTTCCCGGCCAAAAGCAATAGATTTCCTGCTGATTTTAAGCGTTCCATTTTGTTTCATTATAAAATTCACGATCATTTCGGTGAAAGTGTTGTTTTATGGACCAGAAAAAGTTATATTAACCTCCACTTCGTCTCGATTTATATATCTTTCTTAGGTCCGTTAAACCCTATATTCTACTCGACAAAAGTGCTTTGTTGATGAGAAGACACTATGGAGCTGAATACATTTGTAATAGATATTGATAAAGCACGCACATCAATCTATTAGTTAATTGGGAAATACTAGTCCAGTGCATTTGATATCTGCCTAATGGTTTATTGTTGTTGTTATTGGTACGCGGGTCGCTATATATATTTTACGGTTTTTTGTTCTCGAATAATTAAGAATTTTAGAAACTGCTCGATATCAAGATTATGTTGGGCTTGGTTAAGCGTCCTACTATCTAACAACTGAGGAATGTTAACGCGTTAATCTGATAAATATATCTAATTTTAAAATTATTTTCTAAAATGCCGATAGGAGATTACTCAGCATGCTTAATTGTGTTTGATAATTAGATGGAAATAAAGTTTACCAATTATACTTCCTATTCCATTTCATGCAGTTTCGGCCAAATTAAAATGCAAAAATTGTATTGGCTCATCAGGAAACGGAAATGAAAATGTTATTAGCCTAAGAGATTGTCGCTAACACACTATGACGATTTCAGAAGTTTCATATTATTTTTTAGCCAAGAAAAAATATGTGTTTGTCATTATTCTGGTAATTGACGTATTAAGAGGTTCCATTAAGATAGATCCAATTATGAAGTTGTGTAGTCACTTAGGATAGTTAGAACCTTCATTAGATTTAAACTCAACAGGTCTTTAGCAGTGACGACATGAGCATTTATAATTGTTTAGACCATCTCGCGACATTTAGCACAAGCAGCCTTATGTAAACGTGCAGCTGTCAACAACATTATTTTTGTATTTTCAAAACTTGTAAAATTCAATTTACCATATTTTTTGTAGCAATTATTTCAACCGCTCAAAATAGCAGACCCTATCAATTCTGTAAGCGGTGGTTGTTGGTGACATTAATGAAGACACTCCGATAGTAATGCTAGTTATTATTCTCACTTCTATATAACTGTTGATAACAATTTATCTCAATAGCCATTGTTCGGGAATGGCCCGACTTAAAACAGAGTAATGAGTCGTTAATGGGATAAGCAGACACCTCGTGAAGACTATTGATTACGTTTTAACTGTTGAATTGAACGGTGAGATGGTCTTGAAACCACTGTTTACTGTAAAATGTATTCTGAGACACAGCCACATCCCTTTTTGAGACAGAGGTCCTCAAGTTATGTGGGGAAACGTTACGAAGATTGACATTTACAAGTGAGTCTGAATATCAAATTGTTTTTCAGACTAATTCGTATGTATGACTGATTGACGTAAACACATTGTATATCTGTAACAGCAACTGAAGCATGACTTGTACCTGCAAGAGTGTAATTAAGTCATAGAAATGTTGTATGTGTCTATAAGGGCGATTTAGCACTTATTGTATGTATTTATATAAAGTATCATTTTTATTTAATTTACAACAATTATGAAACAAGATATCGCAATTTATAATAATCACTCTTTTTGGCACGATTCGAAGTTGACCTCATACCTTTACACATCGGGAATTCGAACCCCGGATTCCTTCGTGAGGGCATGTGCGTTTTCCTATGCGCAACCCATGTAAGTTGTAAGTGTTAGTAAGCACGTCTTCATATTTCCTTGTATGCATCCGAAAGCACGTGAAAATCGACTCATGTGTATTATTTAGCGCGGTTGTTGTGCTCTCCGTTTTGTTTT